GCACCAACAATGATGAGCTCTTTAAGAGAGGCTAGAGAGTGTAGGTTCCACTCTGACATTGGCTCCTTCAAATTTATGCAATCCCAGACCTCCAGCACCAATAGTTGAGAGGACGAACCCTCTTTGGCAACGACACAAGACATGGACATTCGCAAACTGTTAGATATTGAAGAGAGGTAAGATTTTGCATCCTCACAGGTAGAGATTTGAGATTGGCACAATTGTGGATTTCTAAGGTTTTCAAAGTGGGTGAGAGGCCTGGCTCTGAAAAGGAGATTAAAGTTGGACAATTACTTATAAATAACTCAGTCAGATGTGTGAGGCTATATAGGCATTCTGGAAAACTTTTGAGAGTTGTATAGTTCCACATAGAGATGTATTCAAGTGATGCATTGTTGTGTAGTAGCCACTCTGAAAGTGGTTCCAGCTTTGAGCAAACACAAATTTTCAGTGTTTGAAGACTAAATGGTAATATGCCTCCAGGAAAGCATGTTAAAGATTGACAATCATCAATCTCCAAGCTCTAAAGTTCCCACGAGTGTGTGTCGTTATTTTTCTGCATGATTCCCTCTGGTAGAGACTGCAAATTTGTAGAACCTCGGATTTTCAACCTTTGCAACCTGGTAAGCATGTTGCCACCTGGAAGGTATGTGAGGGAAGGACATTCCTCAATCTCCAAGTCTTCAAGAAGACAATCACTAGTTCTGTAATTAAGCATCATCTTCCAATTAGGCAGGTTCTTAAGAGCTACACAATCTTTCAGCGTAAGATGTCTAAGTGTGGACAAGCAACCTATCTCAGGAAATGATATAAGATTTGGGCATGTTTCACAGCATCTAAAGCTTCAAATCTTTTGGAAATCTCATGCTGGTGGCGAGTGAATGACAAATGATGAAGCTTTGCAATAAATGCATGTGGCTTGTCTTCAAAGGTATCCTCAAAATAAAGGCATATTTCTCCAGCAACAAATTGAGCTAAATAATTTATAAGGTCATGCATAACAAATAGTGTTTTGTTTCTATTTGACTGTTGGAAAAGAGGACATTGAAACTCAATCATGAAAATATGTAAGACCTACATCTTGCATTTATTTTTCAGTGCAATTGGATACATCAAGGGTTTGAAGTGCACCTAGAGACTGTAGCATCTCTTGCGACAGACATACAAGATCCCTAAAACTTTGGATTCTCAGTGTTGTTAAGGAAGTAACGTCAACAATATTTTTCAGTTGCTCCTTGTTCCAGCCTTCAATATTTAATTCACAAAGGGAGGGGAGGCTCATAGGTGAACCCTCCAACTTTGGGCAATGACTGATGATAAGCTTCACAAGGGAAGGAAGATGTCTTGGTAAGTCCCCAGTTAGCTTTGGACAATTTTTTATCATGAGCTCACGAAGAGAAGGAAATTCATCATCTAAATCTTCATCACCTTTATGAGTATAAGACCAATGTTCCCATTCTACCATATTCTGAAACCACAGAATTTCCAAGGACGGAAACCTCTTAGTAGAAGGCAAATCATCACCATAAAACTCAAGACCCACCTTCTTAACTCTATTCATTCCTTGGATGGACAACTTCCTCAATGATGGCAGTCTCCCAAGTGATGGAAGTGACATACTTTTACTGCAGTCATTAAGGTTCATGTGCACAATATTAGCGAATGAGGGATCTCCTAACCAAGAAGGAAATCTTGTACCACCATAAAATGAAATTGTAAGTTCTTTCAGATTCTTACTAGGTTTTAGCATGTCAAGAACAAGCATTTCATCTTCTTCCTTTTGGTGATCAAGGAACTCAGTACCCCATTTCAAATGTAAGCCATCAATACCATGCTTGTCCATTAGATTAGCATCCGCATCTCCAACATGCACCACATTTTCCAACCCAGTGATGGAAAGCTCCCCTTTTAAATGTAACAAGTCCTTCAATTCTCTAATGCCAAACTGACTGTCCTTTGCAACACTGAATTTGGACAAAATTTGAAGATTTATCAACTTGCCTATTCGCAATGGCATCTCCACTAATTTCTCAGTATCAGTAAGATCAAGGAAAAGAAGGTTAATTAGATTTTCAATACCTTGTGGCAGCTTAGTAAGCTTCCCGCAGCCTCGCAATAAAAGTGTTTGTAAGTTGAATAGATTGCCCACAGATTCTGGTAACTGTTTAATTGTACTGTGAGACAAATTAAGGTACCTCAAATGCTTCAGATCACCAATAGAATATGGTATTTCATCTATGCAGTATTCACTCAAACATAGCACCCTTAAGCATCTGAATTTTGCCAGCAACCCCTGTAACATATCGTTACTTATGTAATAGCGTGGTGCCCGAGCTGATGTATCCATTCGTAAAGCTACAAAAGTCCGTGAACACTGCACAGGATCTAATGCTTCAAATATTTTGGAAATCTCATACTGGTGGGGAGTGAATGACAAATGACGAAGCTTTGCAATATATTTATGTGGCATGTCTTCAAACCAATCCCCCAAATGAGAGCATATTTCTCTAGCAAAAGATTGAGCTAGATCATTTATAAGGTCATGCATAACAAATAGTTTTTTGTTCCTACTTGAGTGTTGGAAAAAAGACATTGAAACTAAATCATGAAAATATGTAAGACCTACGTCTTGCATTTGTTTTTCTCCCTTTGCTTGTTGTATTAACCCCAAAGCAATCCATAGTAGAACCAAGTCATTCTTGTCAAATTCATAGCCCTTCGGAAATATAGCGCAATAGGCAAAGCATCGTTTCAAATGGGAAGGAAGATAATGGAAGCTCAACATCAGAGCAGGAAGGATGCCACTCCTTTCTTCTGGTATGTCCCACATCTCGCTCCTCAACAAATCTTCCCACTCATCAGAATTTACTCTACCACGCAGAAGCCCACCCAAAGTCTTGGCTGCCAGTGGTAAGCCTTTGCACTTGCACACTAGTTCTTCACCAATCTCTTTTAGATTCGGGTGTTCATCAAAATTACTAGCACCAAGGGCATGTGTGACAAACAACAACAAGCAAGCATCGTTGGACAACACCGGCAGAGGGTATACCGGATATGTGGTCATGATGGATGCAACCCTTTCATTTTGAGTGGTTACAAGTACTTTACTCCCAGGTTCTCCTGCCATGAAGGGTGCTCGCAGAACCTCCCATTGCTCATAGTCCTCGTTCCAAACATCATCCAAAACAATCAAAAACTTCTTTCCAGAAAGCATCCCCTTTAGTTTCACTTGAAGCGAATTGAAGTCCATGGAATTGAGACTCTCCAAAGTAACACCCCGCAGCAGACTCTCCGAAGTAAAACGCCGCAGCTGACTCTCCAAATTAACATCCTGCAGCAGACTCTCCGAAGTAACATCCTGCAGCGGAATCTCCGAAGTAACATCCTGCAGCGGACTCTCCGATTTAGCAGCCTGCAGCAGAATCTCCAAATAAACAGCCTGCAGCAGAGTCCTAGTCACTCTAATGACATCAAATTCCCTAGAGACACAAGCCCAAACTTTCAACTCAAAAAAGTTTTCAATTTTATCATCATTGTAAACTAACTGAGCAAGCGTGGTTTTGCCCACACCACCCATTCCGATGATTGAAATCACACCAGTTTCACCATCCATTAACCGTTCAAGAATGGCTTGTTTATCCTGTTCCCTGCCAAAAACCCGAGATTCATCAACAAGAGAAGAAGTAGAGCGCAGCCTCTCCTTTTTTGTCTTCAATCTCCCTTGGCCACCTCTCTCCACCAAATTCAAAATATTCCTTTGCTCAAGCATCTGTTGAAATCTAGCAGTGATACCTTCTATCTCTGCCCCCAGCCGCCTGCTAAAGTTAATGCCACTTGAATTGAAACCAGCACAACATGGTAGAAAGAACAATCGTACCTTGCTGGTGGTGCCAGATTGGGTGTGTCCTAGTGTTCTCCGGCGCTGGACCTCGGTGTTAATTTCATCAATAATGTCTTCAGCATCGTAAGCAAGGTCTCTTAAACGGGAGAGCCAGAGTTCGAGGGCAAAACTGACGGTGTGGCTTTGTTGTGCGTCCTGGAGCAGGGCATTGATTTTGGGCAGAAGGTTCTCCCACATGTTGAGTTGGGACAAAAACTGCTCTTCGCGGGCAAAGTTGAGAAACTCCGAAGCGGACAATCGATCAGAAATAACACTGAAGAGAGCGGAGACCATCACATCAGCAAGGCTGGATTTTAAAGCGTCCATTTTTTCAGGGATTGTGGGTACTCAGTAATGCAGACCAGATCTCAGTGAAAATGAACACTACCTTGAATCGAAGCAGCAAAAATGAAGGCGAGAAATGGGAAATTATAGAGAATAAGTGTAGGCCTTTAGAGCTAAAAATGCAGCGTAGACGCGGATGCTACAGTGTTCTCTGCAACTACGTGCACGTAACAAAATGTCTGGATTACAAAGGAAAAATTATTAAAGCAAGCAAGAGAATAATTGAAAAGGTAATACTACAGCTGTCCTGTAGAGATTTAGAGCCCGTTTGGCATTTTGTAGGTGGAACTTTTTTTTTTTT